TATATATATATATATATAATTTATGAAGAATTAAACAACACTTCTTAAATAGTATAAATATTGTAAAAATGTAAAATCATAGAAAACAAAGAGCCATAGTATGTTAATTAGTGCAGTTAAATTGAGAAGAAAATTCAGCTTTTCTTCAATCATTAATTTCTCTCTCCACTGATGTTATAACAACCCATTAGAAATCAATGAAGTTTCCAAAATTAGTACAGTAGTACCTCAGGATACGAAATTAATCCATTCCTACACTGAGATCATATCATGAAAATGTCGTAAGGTGAATCATTTTTCCCCATATGATTACATGTAAAACCAAATAATCTGTTCCAACATGAAAAATACACTCAAATTAAAGCTAAGTAGTACATTGAAAAAAAATAACTTTAGTAAGGAAAACACTGAAAAATGCATTTTGTAGTTGTAAATGTATAAATAATAGAATAATAATTGATAAAAAAAAATGTAGTTTTATTTGCACTTTACCTTTGAGGATAGATGACAGTGGAGGTGTAAACTGGTAGCAGAGGAGAGGGAGAAGGGAAATGATACTAAAACTTAAGTTACATAACATAATGTAACAATAAGTTAAAAATAACTTTACACTAATTTTTTTATCTTTTCTGTTTTATATCTTTTTTTAAAATTTTTTATTCACTGCTTTTTGCTTTCTTTCCTTCACTTCCACTGGCACTTTCACTGGATAGAGGTCGCTTGGTAAAATATCTATCCAAAGAGACTGCCTACTTTTTAAAATGTTTCTAAAAAGACAAATATCATTAAAACTGAGCAGCAATAGGCCAGTGTGAACCTTTTCAGTATATTTCTTTTCAATAAAATCAGTCACTTTCTGATAATACCTCAAGATTTTCTTTATCGAGCGAGATCCTTTCACGAAAAAAAGCAAGCACGCAGACTGAGACCAATGAACAGAAGGAACACGTGATCATGGCGATTGCACTGCAAACTAATGTAACATTGTATGGTGAGTTTTTGTTTGTACCGTGGAGCAAAAATATGTTCAAATTTCATGTCATATCCTGAAAATTTCATATGCTGAAGCTTTCATATCCTGAGGTATTACTGTAATTGCTGTGACAAGAAAAGTAAAAAGATTATTATTTACTTCAAAAACTGTTATAACTTTTCGATCATTGTAAAGACATAAGTAGATATTGATTTTTCAATGATTCATTGATTTTATAGAAATGTTTGTTCAATTTTTATTAAAACATTCATGCTTTTTATTAATTTTGACCTTAATTAAAATAATATTATATTGCCATCTTGTATTAGGATTGACAATAAAAATTAATTTTGAATTTGATCAAATAATTTGAAAAGTTTGGAAGATCAATCTGGAGCAGGACTAAATCCAGAACTTCCATTAAGAAGGAAATGCATTACGAGTTATTCTAGCCAGACCACTGTTCAATCTTCACTTTTAGAAATACATTAATGAGAATTATGTAACCATAACTGTTCCATAATTTAATTGATTAAAAATAAATAAAAGTAATGAAAATAATCATTTATCAATCATAAATACAACACAACGTAATACATATAAATATAGTCCATAATTTTGCAGTTTACAATTTTGATGTAATTATGTCTTTACTGTAAAATACAGTAAGACCCCACTTAATGTAGGGGGATGCGTTCCTAGACAACGAAGCACTAAACGAAACAGTGTTAAACGAGGCCATTTTAAATAACAGAGTAAATAGGAAAACACGTGACCAAAAATAAACAATTTACTTTAAGTTATTTTTATATTAATTTGCATAATAATATATGTTAAATAAACATATTCACACAGTAAATTCAAAAATGTAAAGTTCACACACATTCAAAAATGTAAAATTCATTTTTGTGATGAAGATCCTGGCTTTTCTGAAATTCTTGTTTTTTGCAATAAAGTCATGTAGTTTCATTCATTGTTTTTTTTCTTTGCTTAAGCAAATGTTGGTAGCAGAAGATAGCATCCAAAATGCTTCGTTTTGCTTTTTTACTCCTTTCAAAATCTGGATCATTCACTACAGTTTTATCAATGATTTTAGTTATTGTTACTTTTACTAAGGAAATCTGTAGAGAAATTCTTTGGGGTCTTCATTTTCAGAATCACTATTTTCCAGTTATACATGAATTCTTTGTTCTGCCAGTTCTTAAAGGTTGTTGTTGGTAAGGCTTGCACCACAAACCTGCACCCTCAATATCCTGCTCATCTACATCTCCTAGCCCTGCTTTTTTTTTTTTAACTCTTTCTACTCTTGGGCACTAAGAGGGCTTCTTTTAGCAAGCCCATTATGGGTTCAGTCAGGTCCCCAATGGGGCAGCCAAGTGATGAGGGATGGGGCCCAACATATCCGAATTGACCACCCTCCAAAAAATTCCTGGGGATTTCTTGACCTGTCCAGATTCAGTCCCTGTTCCCCAGAGCAGTAGGCTGCCACCTTTACCACTCAGCCATCCAGCCATCTTCCTAGTCCTGCTGTATTGTTAGGTTGACCAAATTGTCAATCTAACAATACAGCGATATGCTCTTCTTGTTGAGTATTCTTGGATATCTTCAGCCATAACTTCTTCCACACTTCATTCATGCATTTATCAGTTAATTCTTGCCAAGCGAAGTCAATATTTCCTATGGCATCCATGATGTTATATTTTTTTTCCAAAATTGCATGAAACAAACATAGATTTAAGGGAAGTACAGTGCTACAACAAATTTCCACCTTTTGCTGATTGGTTTGTGTTTGTAAATACAGTAATACCCCAACTTACGCAAACTCGGAGTTACGCGATTTTCAAATCTTGTCGATTCACCTTTTGTTTGAGCGCCACACAACCCTTGATCACTCACTTCCCCCACGCTATTGTTCAGCTTACATGTTCAGATGTGTCGCGCAGAATCCACACATAGCTACAATTTATTTTGTGTTATTTATTTCTGTGTTTGTTATATCTATGGAGACTTGAAAGACTCTACTATGTCATTCAAACGAAGTAGAACTAATTATTCTGCATCAAACAAGAAAAGAAAAACTTTATATTTCTAATGTAAAGTTAACATTGGGTATGTTCGTAAAGTCGAACAAGTTAAACGAGAATGACGTCATCGTTATTCCTATTTCGTTAGACTTTTCAAACGATTCGTTACTAACGTGTTTAACTCGTTTGACTACGAACATACCCATTATTAAAGACTTCGATACAAAAATGAAAATTTGTGAATTGGCAAAGAAGTTTGATCTACTGGAATTGTCGGTCAGAACAATTATAAAAGTGAAAAATGCTCAATCTTTAAATTCAAGCATTATTCATAAACGTCACAGTATTATCGCTGAGATGGAAACAATGTTAAAATTATGGCGTAATAATCAAGTAAATGTGAAAAATTGATAAATAATATAGGCCTAATTTGTTATACATATGTATTATCTAAGATTTTATTAAACATTTTTTTCTAAATTATTGTTTTCTTTAGTCTCCGACACAAATTAAAAATTATTTGTATGTATTTATATGCGAAATTATATCCCAACTTACGCGGTTACCGCTCAGTCCCACCTATCGCATAAGTTCAAAGTATTACTGTAATCATATTATGTACGAATCAATGAAATGCCACGATAATTTGAATCAGCATAAATTTTGAGCTTTTTTAGGCTTCGAGCAGACCGCATTATATCAAATAGCGTTAATCGAGGCAGTGTTAAGCAGAATCTTACTGTCTATTATAACAATATGTTTTTGAAAAAATAAAAATCAAGATCTAATTAAAAATAAGTAATTAAAATTTCAAAAGTTGATAGCCAAGTTTTATCAGTTTAATTTTTGAAAATTATTTTGGTTTATTTGCAAATTTCATATCATCTTTTACATGTATTATTTTGTTGTGTTGTACTCTACATTCTGCTTTATTTTTAAAACAATTTCCACATCACATACTTAGATAAATATTTGATAAACTGCAAATTGTATTCTTTAAAAATTTTAACAAGCACTTCTTTGTTTTATTAGTTTGAATGTTTACAGTTAAAACTTTGTAATTTATGGCTGATTTTGAATATTAACTAGATTAAAATGAAATCAAGTCCAAATTTGTAACTATGCTTAACTTATAAGTTATGAAAACATAATGAATTTTAAGTGGATGTGAATGAAATGAAGTAACCTAATTCAAGCTATATATTTAATATAGATTACATAGCAAAATAGCTAAGATAGAAATAAATTGTTGACAGATTTAAACAGCTGAACTTTTAAAAACTGATCTGATGCTTTGCCAGCTCCCAATTCTTTAGAACTTTTTGATCAGAATTAACTCAACAAACAATATCAGGTCAGTTTCCAATAATTAGTATTTTGAATCCATCATACAACAATTGCCTTTTCCATTTTTGACAAATTACATAATTTATTTTAACTTAATAGTTTTTCCTTTGTTAGGAATATATAAATTAAATGATATTGGGATAATTTATTAAATATAATAATTTTGAATGTTTCTTGTTAATATAATCTTTTTCTTAATAAATATTTTAAAAATTATAATTTCAACATTTTGAATAATTTTAACTCAGATTGCAACAATATAAAATATCTATTACCTGAATGAAGTAAATTTTCATCAGTTTTATCACCAACAAATTCAAACGTGGATTCCCCATTAGTATCATCACCAACTTCCTCCATCATAATAGATAATTAATTTTTCTAAAAATTAATCATTTAAAATATATTAACAACAAAGGATAAAAAAATCATTAAATTACTTCAATATATACAATTATCTAAATTATATTACTGAAAATTAAGTTATAATGTGGAAAACTACCGTATTTTGACGAGTATAAGTCGCTATCGAGTATAAAACGCACCCCTATTTTGAGACAGAAAATTTAGAAAAAAATTTTTTAATGAAAGATTGCATTTTATTCGTTTTTTTATTCAAGAATGTGACGGATGCATTTTATTCATTTTTTTTTTATTAAAAAGATGCATTTTATTCGTTTTTTATTCAAGAATATGACGGATGGCTGAATCGACACCTTTATTAAACTGAAATACAGTAGATCCCCCTATAAGACGGTAGATACGTTCCGTTCTTTATGAATCAATTTTGTAGGAATCATAGTTTACAGACTACGGCTGTTTGAAAGGTTTTCTTTCATAAAATTAATCGATTCTAGACTAATTCGACTCAACATTTCCAAAATACGTATATTTTTTTGAAAATAATCCGTATAAACTACGTTATAAACAAAAAATTGTAGGATTGCTTACCGAGTGTGTACCGTTCGACTACGCCCGTTGCTAAAGCTTGGTTTCGTCGCGGAACAGCGCATCAAACCGCGGCCGCGATTTCTGATATTATTTTTCTGCGAAAACTTCGTTGACCTTTGGAGACATCCTTAATATAAATAATTTTTATGGCCGTTAAATAAGAAATGTTTCTTTCACAAGAAATGTATAAAATTACAGTACTGGACAGACGATAGGTCGCCTAACTCGCCGTAGCGTGACGCTAGACGGCGAAAAATATATATTTAATTATAATAAAGTTACAATAAATTAAGTTAATATATAATTATATATACAGTACCTAATTTATATATAATTAATATATAATTATATGTACAGTACCTAATTTATATATAATTATATGAACAGACGATACTAAACTCAATTTATCCGCCTAAACGTCCGTAGCGTGGCGCTACGGACGGCGGGAAAGTAGTTCGGCTGCCCGATGACGTTTTACGTATTATAGGAGTTATTTTTACCGTTGTTTACGGATACTGCCACAATTTTTATAGGAATCATAACTATAGGAAACGGTTTTATAGGGGGATCTACTGTAATCGTCATTTCTTAATGTAAACTCAGAGGTCACGCAATGACAGTCAACAGAACATGGCGGCAATGACTCGTGTGTTGCTATTCTGATAATCTAGGTACTCTAGCCATTCAGTTGAGGGACCAGGGGTTAACGGATCACTGCACAGGTTGGTCCCTAGAGTGGACCACTACTGTAAATAATTTCACTGTAAAAATGGTTACCTGTCAAGTATAAGACGCACCATGATTTTGAGCCCCAAAAAGTAGTAAAAAAAAGTGCGACTTATACTCGTCAAAATACGGTAATCAAAATAACATTTTATTTTGATTAGTTTTGACTAGCTCAGAGTAAGACTTGGACCTGAAACTTCCATACTGCACGGAAAGTGGCTCTGAGCTAATCAAATCTGGAGTTCAAGTCCCACTCCAGGCAAGTTCTTTTCTTCCAGACAGTTCTAAATTATTTAATAAATTATTAATTCAGATAAGAGATGGCACCTAACATCTACCTCTAATACCAAATTACTTAATATCTGATTATTAATAATAGCATATTTACAGCATGATTAATTACGGCAATCATTTAGTTGAGTATTTTATTTTTCTTTAATTCTTCTATATTTGCTTTTTGTGTTATATTTAAAATCTAATGTCATTATTTGATTGATAATACTAAAATAAAAAATATATTAAACATTTTAATAATTAACATAGAATATATTTTTATTAAATAAATACATTTGTAATATTCAATTTATATATAATATTAAAAAAATCAACTATGACTTAAAATAGTATTGATACTACAGTATTATTATTATTGTTTTGTTGTTGATGTAATGTATCCTACTTGCTTATACCAGCATCTAACAGTATACCAGACTATGGTCAAGCATGGCTATATGATGTGTTTGGCAGCCTTCTGTAGTGTAATGTATGTGAAATCCTAATGTTTCTAAAATTTTGTCTAAAAAAGGAGCATAGGTGCAATAAGTAACCTATTCATTCTCTACAGGTATTTTATTTCATAGACAAATTCTGAGTATTTCTAATTCTTTCAGTTTATGTATTTTGTATGTTGTGGGTTTTTTGTATACAATCATGTCTATGATGCATGTAATTTTCTTGTTTGTTAATGATTGTTTTGTCTGTGATTATGGTACAGTCATTGTATATTTTGTGTACGCTGAAACAATATAGAAGTTAACTGCTTTAAATGTGTGTTTTGCATTCAACTGTTTTGTTAGTATTGAGTTTAATCAGTTGTTGAATTCTTTTGAACATCTTTGTTTGATTTGTGTATTTCTGTAAATTTGGCTTGCTGGAACCCTAAATATTTGTAGATTCTAACCTCACCCATGAATGTAATGATGTCTCCATTTTTGAGTGTAAAATTTTCCTTCATCAGAATTTATTTTTCAATGTGAAGTGTTTTGCATTTCTGTGACTATGTGACTCTAATAAACTTCAAAATAATAATAATAATAAAGATTAAAATTATAAACTACACCACAAAACACCAGGATGTGTTAAATACTGCACTCTTAGAAGCTATAACTGGTATGATATAAAAAAACAAAAGATAAAGGTCACCACAAATGTTTTTGAACCGCTATGAGTTCTTCTTCAGGTGTGAAACAGAATAACTGATGGGACAGAGCGAACTGTTAAGGAAATTCAAGAAACATTAGAAAGTGTTATGTGAGATGCATGTGTATTCGTCTGGTTGACATATCATGACCTTAAAGTTCAGAGTCCATCAATGCCTGCCAAGCTGGCAACAGAACCAACTCATCCTTAAAATTGATGCAGTTGTCATTGAGGGTCAATTTATAAATGTGGATGGCCTCTAGCCATTTAAGGTGTTCGGTGTGTGACATGGTGCGTACAAGGTTCACCTGGTGGAAGGCCTCCACAATGTCCGGGTCAGCGGCGGCATATGTGGTGCTCACAGAATAAAGCAAACAACGGAAATTAAATATTTAGGTGTTATTCTAGATGAGAGACTTAACTTCACACCCCCACATCAAATACATCACAAAGCTAAAAAGATGGTCAATGCCCTCATTAGTATTGCTAGAAAGTAGAAACACATGGGGCCTTGGCCCTAATGCTACTAAGCTTATTTACAGGGATGAAATTCAACCAGCACTCCTCTATGCTGTACAAGTCTGGGGTCACGTGGCTGCCAAAGTCCATAACCGTAAAAAACTGTCATCTGTTCTAAGGATTACTGCTCTCCGCATTTGTAAGACTTATAGGACCACACACACTAGTGCCCTTTTGTAATGCCAGGGTTGACCCTTATTGACTTAGAAATTAAACACATTATTTGGCAGGAAAATCTCGTCACCTTACCCTGGCGAGATTATAGTGACTCGGATGTCAACAAAATGATTAGAATAGGTAAGATACCCCCCAGTTTGACCTTGATCAATGATGATAATTCAGCATCGACAAAAATACCCTTCTGATTTACGATTACCACCCCTCCCACCAGCTTGCCTGACGTTTACTTCGAAAATCCAGGTGATCATCCCATGTTTAGGATTTACACTGAATTTCAAGATGGGCTCCTTTTGTAGTTTACTCCGGGAGCTTCACAATGCTTGCTTCTGTCTAGGTACACACTGCTCAATAGTATAGGCGGAAACTTTAGCTATTTATATGAGCTTAATTCACATTAGGCATAGGAAGGTCAAAAGACACTATTTACACTATTGCATTTATTCTGACAGCTTTACATAGGATTGTGAAGTCTGATAGCCGCTTAAAACTCGTCCATCACATGCACCACATTCTCAGACATGTAGACAACAACATTAGAATGGATTTCCAATGGGTCCCAGGTCATGCGGGGATTCTCAGCAACGAGACCGCTGACCATCTTGCCAAACAAGCTGCAAAGTCTTCAGTCACTAGTACTTTCAGTTCATTCCTACCTCGTACATCAACAATCACATCAAGAAGCAAATCTTCATTCTCTGGCAAGACAGCTGGGACCATGGCACCACTGGTAGGCTCACCTACACTTTCATCCCCAAGGCTGACACTATTGCAATTCTTTGCCACTTTTACCCTAGTTAAACCCTCACTCAGCTACTTACAAGATACAACTTTAAGCAATACTTGCATATATTTAACCTTGGGGACAATCCACAATGTGATTGTGGTATTCAGGAGGACCAAACACCACTTCACTTAGTTTTTTTGCTGCAATAGGTACATTACAATCACATTAGGGATAGTTTAATGAGAACTACTATTCTTGAAGGGTACAACTGGCTTTGCAACCCGCACCAACTCATTCACATGCATACTGAGTGCATGGATGGCAATTAGCTTTCCCTTGCTTTGTTTCAACTGTCGGTATATAGCTGCCTTTCAACTTTGTATTTTAATTCTTATTTTCCATTTTCTTTTCAGTCTAAATTTGGTTAGTTTAAGTTAGTCCTAGTTGTAAGTTAGATTAAGGACTCTTAGCTGGTTTCCAGTTAGGTTATGATAGATTAGGTTAAATTAGACTAGGGTTGTTAGCTTTAATGGTCAGGTTAGGTTTGTCCTAGGTTATGGTAAGTTAGCTTAGTTAGGACATTAATGTTTAAAATAAATAATAATAAAAATAATAATAATAATAATTTGGGGACTTGCTCATTTGTCTTCTGTTGGTCTGTTCATCTTGTCTAGTTTGTCATTGAGTTCATTTGTTTTCACACTGCCTGTCTAGCTGTTAATAGTATTGAGATTTGCGCTCGTGTTCAGTTTTATTAGTATTAAGTAGATATAAGTCTTTCTACTAACAGCCACTTGGCACTAACTTCTACACTTAGCTATTCATGGCTGCACTCAATTATTGGTGTTCGGTACACTCAGGT